TCACCCCGTGGTGCCCTTATAAAACTCAACGTTTAACCTACTCACGCCGGCTTGTGCCCGCCCCTCACAGTCGGCCATATTTGTGGAATACACCACGCCGCCATTGACCCTGGCCATTGACCGAGCAACCCAACGTTCCTACCAGCTCCCTCCGCAGGAATGTGTTGGGAGGTCAATCGTTTGCAGCGCTTGTGCCTCTGGTCTAAAGGCAAAGACGTGTCATTCACAATGGTCGGTGCGAATCTTAGCCTGCAAAAATAATCCATTCCCTTGTGTTTAGGATGAAAGTGGTAATTGCGCGCTATTTTTATCCAAACCAATTGTACCGGATCTAATTTTTCTCCGCAAACATCATAATTGCTGAGGATATTGCAGATTAACCTGAGGAGCGGTAAAGTGGCTGCAGCTTCTTAAACTGTTACGGTTGTCATAAGCTATAAGAGTGTGCTGCAGTGTATTATTTAACAGGTCTAATTTAGCAAAAATAAAGGCCAAGGCCATATATAAAATAATTTCCAGACACTTCCACTTTCCCATAATTAAGACGTATATATAATAATACTAATAATAAAACCTATTGCATTAACTTTGATCCTTATCTGTGTATTGACAGTGCTATGTGTATGTGACCACTTTATTGAGGGACTACTATTACTGTATATGTATTATTTACTTGTATTTAGTGACTTAATTTGGCATAATCGAAGCCCTCACTGTGATAATTTCACAGTGATAACATGAGAACATGTCACCACTGCTGCGTAAAGAATACAACAACAACAATAACCGCTTGAAGGATTTCTCAGAGTCCCCCAGTGAAAACAATTGGTGACACACGGGGCAAACCGCCTCTGTGAGATTTCCGAATTGAATCCTTCATCTCACGATGTGACAGACGTCACAGCTGGGACAAATTGTTGGGATGGAAGGAAACCACCCAAAACAAATGAATGCAGCTCCCGTTACGGTCCCGCCTCTCACTCAAGAGGCTGTACCGCTGGCCACCACGGCCGTAACAAAAACCACCTGCACTAAAAATGTCATTGTAACTTTGATCATTACCTGTGTATCGATAGGCGCAATGTTAATGTGCCGTTTTATTAAGGGGCTACTCCTGTGTGGTGTCGTCTTGGTGTGGTCTGGGACTGGGTTGTTGTTGTTGTCTTTGCTGCCTTACCATAAAAAATTCTTGCTGTGATTTTCACACCTGATGATGATTGCTTGTGTTGCAATCGAAATGTCGTGATTTAATTAACTTTTATTTATATTGAATTTTTATTTTGAATTTTTTATTTTAAATGTTTTTTTAAATACATGTTTTACCTACGTAACTTTACCGAAAGAACCAACGAGTATGAATGTATTATATATTAATATTTCGTTACTTGCTTACAATTTTCTCTATGTTGCACTCCTATTGTTATTTTTGTATTGTTTGCTGTTATAACTTGCTGATGGAGAGGCCGTGCCAACTGCACCATCTCTCCATCTCCCGGTGAAGAGATGTTAACTCCCCCACCTGGTGTGCAGGAAGTCGTGGGTTCGATCCCGACCCAGACGCCTGCTGTATATCTGGAGTTTGCGTGTGTCTCTCTCCACGTGATCGTGTGGATTTTTCTCCGGGCCCTCCAGTTTTCCCCTCCACATTTAGAATCAACATCGCGCGTTTAGAGTGTTTGGCTGCTACACATCTCCACGTGATGAGCCACTTCGTTGAGCCGTCATTTGTGGCCAGGTCGCTTCTGAAAAAAGAACTACGTAGCTTAGAGGGCCTTACCTGGTCAAATTAAAATAATGTACAGCTTTCTTTGCACGTTTTTTTATGAAATTTCTTGTGATGAAGTGTTCAGGTGGGGAAAGTTGAGATGCTTGAATGCAAATTATCCAACCTGCAATGGGCTCTCGTATTATGCAGTCTCCATGAATACAGAATTCGGACGGTCTCAAATGAAATGCCAATATTACATTTTTCCATTTTTTTATGTCAGCTATTATGCAGATGTGTTATTTTATTGCCGACAGTGAAAGACACTTCTGAGAATAAATGTTTCTTGATTTTCAAAACGTATTCAAGTGTCCATTTCGCATATTTTGTTGATGTTTGTCTCTTGCGTTTAAAAATGCAATCGGTTTGTGCTCCCGTGGTGAAATGAGCCCTCGACCTTGATTATTTCCACTTGGAGTCCAGATTCACCGTGGTATACATTCCACATTACCACGCTGAGGGCCAGTCTTTATCGTTGGAAAGTGAACCAAATGTTGACTGAAGCCTGCTACTGTTGTCTTCCTATCGAGTGGTTTCAGCAGCAGATGTTCATATTATTGGCGCCGAAGGGACGGTGTCTTGAGTTGATCCTGCAATGCGATTTGAACTGACCGTTTTCATGCTTCACAGCCTTGTCCTGTTACCATTTGAGCTACCTCATATCATGACAACATTAAAAAACGAAAATGCTACTTCACATATGCTTGCGTTAAATTATGCAATAGATCATCAATAAAAATGATGCTTTTATCGTGTCCTTGACATTCAAACTGCTAAGAAAGTAAGTGGGCTTGGGCAGGACATGTCACTCCAAGAGTTATGGCCAATTGGGCCAGAATTACAACGGGGAGTGAGAGCCAAGGAACGGGATGCATCCAAAACAGTCACGGAAGCCTCCACTTGAGCCTCAAAACACGGCATGCAGGCGTGATCACGGTCGCGAAATGTGATCGACCTCGCCTTGTATACAGGAGGCCGTTGGTTCAATCCTGACCCTGATGCGTGTATATTTGGAGTTTGCATGTCCGTGGTTGCGTGTATTTCCATTCGGGTCCTCCAGTTTTTCCCTCCACATTTAAAAAAGCCATGCTTTTAGAGTGTTTGGCTGCTATAAATGTCTACATTAGTAGGTAAGCCACTTCGTTGAGCTATCATTTGTAGCCAGGTCGCTTCTAAAAAAGAGCTGGAAAGTTCAGTGGGCCTTACCTGGTAGAATAAAAATAGGTCATGGTTTTTATTGTTTTTATTTTATTTATGATAGTCTGAAATGGCGTTATTTAACGCAGTTCCTGGTTGAGGAGAGATTTGCAAATGAGAGATCTCAAAAACGGCGAGGAAACCTGAACAAGATTTAAAAACATTCAGAGGTCTTCAGATAGGTTCACCAACATAATTGGCTCGACTGACATCACCTCCTGTGATGCAACAATCCAATTCAGCAGCTGCACACGAAGCGATCTCATCGCTCCATCTCCCCGGTGTACGTGCTCCTGGACGCGTTCCACCCTTGCGAGTGAGTGACTTGCTCCGTCATTGTTCGATACGCACAGCAATAACCTTGTTGGCACAATGGCACAAAATAAGCGTTTAACAAACCGTGAGACAGAATAGTAAAAGTAAACATAGAATTTTATTTTGGTAACATAACACACGTAACATATGGCGAAGCAGATATTACATACAAAAGAAAATTCTTATTAGGTATATTTTAAGGTGTAGTTTGGTAAAGCAGTGTTTTGAATGGGAGAATATAGATATACACTGAACTATACAATGTAGGACTGTGAAAGACAGCAATAGCTTCTGGGGGGCTTTTTCACACATTCAGAAGTGGATTGATGATGGCTGATGATGGTGATGTTTGTGTGTGTGTCTATATATATATATTACTGTGCGGAGCGGTGGTGCAGCGGTTAACACATCGCGCTACTAAACCTCACCACCCGAGTTCGCTCACAGCCAACACCGGTGACGATTATCTAAACCGATCCTGGGCCTCCCCGAGGTCGACTCGGCCTCAAATGAGCATCTGGTGCGGCATGTAAACATCGCCACTGGGGAGACAAAGGCGGTCGGGCGTGGTGCTGGCCATCCACTCCCTCGTGTGCTGTGGCGGCCTTCATAGGTGCTCGCTAACAGCACTTGCCCCAACAGTCTGTTAAGGCTATTACGGAGGATCTTTGTTCGATCTCTTCTACATGTGAAGGAGTAAACAAGAATGGGAAACAACACAGCATCGAATCTTTATTTAGCTTGAAGGAATCCGATGAGCTATGAAGCTCTTTTGAACAGATGTCCAATAGGCTGTATGGGGTATCTTTGTCTTTGTTATAGACCGCTATGATTGTAATTATCAGCACTACTGTTTCCACAGTTAGCCTTTTTTCTTTGTTTTTAATTGAGCTGAATGCTGGTCCTTAAAGTTGCTCGCTGCAGCCAGAGAGAGGAATGATTATTATTTTCCACGTGGGAATTGTATTTTTTTTCGGAGTTTCCTATTTTTAAATCCTTTATATTAAGTTCGCTTGCTTGCTTGCTTGCGTGCTTGCGTGCTTGCGTGCTTGCTTGCTTGCTTACGACCGTGCAAACCTTTCGGTCGTTTTTTAACCCACTTCCCGTGATCCAATCGAGCTGACATTTTGCACACAGACTCGTTGTGCGAGACAATTAATGTTCGTGCAATTTTTTTTCCAAAATTTTTGACACTGTTTAGGGAAAACATATTAAATATTTAATTACCAATTGTTTAATACTGCAGACAATCATCTGACCCATAGGTGGCAGCCATCTCAAGCCAGAGGACGAGAGGACTCTAGCCGCCATGCATATAAAGGATTTAGAGTGAAAAACTTTGTTTTTACGGGTTATACTTATTCCTCTCATCCAATTATCTTGCTTGTTCTCCTTCGCACATCGTGTGTGTTTATTGATAGGCAAGAAAATCAAGAATATATTTGCAACTATTTTGGTTCGTTACATTGGCAGGCTTATTGTAATACGTAACCACAGCTTACGCCCACGCATTGTGCATGTAAGTCCGCTGTTGGGTGAAGGCCTCTGTGCGAATTATTGGGATTATTGACCATACCATGGCTTATAGTAGTAGGTTTTTACCCTTTAAACTGGTACAAAACTGACACCTTTATACAAGGCATCATGTTTGCAATAACCACAACACAAGCAGTCAAAATGCAAACAAAAAGAAACAACTCTGATAATGATATGCACTGTCCATATCATTATCATTATCAGAGTTGTTTTATTTTGTTTGCATTTTAACTGCTTGTGTTGTGGTTATTGCAAACATGATGCCTTGTATAAAGGTGTCATTTTGTACCAGTTTAAAGGGTAAAAACCTACTACTATATTTTTCCACTGGTAAAGGAGGTCTCATAGCATACCGTGGCTTGTCACTGCGGGTTGGTGAAGGCCGGGAAGTCGGGGAGCATATAAATAGAGTACAACAACACCTTGTTTTTAATCACTGCTCTCTGCTGCGCCATAAGGCAGCTATGGCTCAACTCTCGCTTAGTGGACGATGATGATGATTGGAATGCCAATGATATCTATCATCAAGGTTGTCTGTCGAAATAAATAAATTCCTACTGGCATCTACGTCTTGTATTATCTGACTAAAGTTAACAGAGTACTTATGATAATCGGTCTTCATATGCCTAAATTTAATAATAGCACACAAGCAACAGGGTGGTAAATTTTTATAAATGCCCACTGATTTACAATAACCGCCTGACTTGCTTCACAACAGGCGATTGAATATTGTGAAAGGGATGTCTCCGCGTCTTACAAAGCAGTACTAACAAAGGGCATCGCAATTAGTGAGATACAGGAATGAGCTTTAAAATAAATGTATCACTTCTCCCTTTTGGCAGTATTCAAGTGGCGTATCTATAAATGAGTTGGCTTGCATTGAAACACGACACGTCACATGGGGTGTTCCATTATTTACAGACCGCGTTTCTTTTCAAACGGCTAGCAACCCTACTTCCCCTGCCTGTACACCCACAGAGCGAATGACATGATACTTTCTTGTGCAGCTTTGCCATTGCACGCCTTGTGACAGCCAGACGTGTCGAGCGTGCTCTTCGTGCAAGAACACTTGCGGTTAATTCTGCGACGACATTGCTCAAGCATATGGGGGTGAGATATTTTGCAGTTGGTCCCGTCTCTTACAGATCCCCAGGAGGACCGTTTTCCCACCCGTGTGATGCGTAGAGATTTTCACTTTAGTTTTCATTCGTATAAATAAAGACCGTTGCATTAAATCTCGTTGATCTTTCGCTGTAACCTCGGCGTCTCTCGCCACAAAAAAGGCCACGCGATTTCAAAGTAGCCGCGGCGCAGATGTGAATTTGAACTCCAGTCGGGGCAAAAATGAAATAACGCGGTTGTAAATTGTACAAAACAGACCGGCCTTGCTACGGAATGAATAGCAGTCATCTCAATGTTAACGGTACAATTCGTTCAGGATACAATACGTACGGGATACCTACGGTGACACAGTGTAGCTGCTGTCCAATACAGAAGCATTTACTGAACCTCCGTGCCTTGTTATACAATGTGAAGGTTGTCTTTATTTCTAGCACAGCCATAGACATTTTCTGAACGCGGAGATCCACTGATTAGAAGAAGAAGAAGAAGAAAGCACAACAAACATACAAACAATAATTTTCCTCCCGGCTCAAGATTTCTATTAATTTTCCCATGTTCGTGATCGGTGACAATGATATGCCTCCATACGAAGTCCTCCATTTGTTCTCTGATTTTTTAAAAAAGCTCACTTTATGTGTAGGTTTCCAAAGACGAACCAGTTACGCTGAAAAAAAGAGAACAAAATATCATCGTGTTAATGTGAATATACGTGGAGTCTGATTTTCATTGGTCAGACGATGCACCGTTTTCTAACGCAATTTGAACATTCGCTGCAGTGGTTAAAATGTGTTTGAACTTTCGGTGGCTTTCCCATTTGTAAAGAGTCATCCTCGTCATTATTCTCATAAAATCTTGAGTTGTGTGTTGTTGTTGTTGTTGTTTGCAATCTATATGCATTGATGTTAAAAATGCTCTGGACTGTTCCATGCAGGGGGCCAAGAAGGTTGTGTGCAAGGGATGCCCTCAACCGTCTCCACTAATTCGGCCGTATAGCGGCTACAGCTGGGGACTTGCAAAGTGTTGGAGAAAATTTCGATTTAAAGCTTTCGTGACTGCAGGGATTCATCGTCTTGGTTCTTTCGGTAAAGTCACGTAGAATGGAAATAATAAAATAAAATATTATTTTATAATATTATTACATAAATTTATTATATTATTTAGTTTTATTTTTATTATTTTATTATTTCCATTCTACGTGACTTTACCGAAAGAAACCAAGAAGATGTTGGAGAAAAGTGGCAGGTTTTTTGACGAAGGTATCTTTTTCATGGAGTTTTTTGGCAATGCTCGAGGCTGGACACGAAGGCATCCAATTGCAACTGTTGGTCCCCTTCTGCATTGGCACTGCTGTCAATAAACACAACGTGTGTCCTGCGTGGGTGGCCTGGGGTTAGAGGAGTGAGGCCAGGACTGCCGAGATCCTGGGCACAAATCATCCAGGCGGCCCAATCGTGGGTAAATTTGGCTCCTCGAGTGTGCGGAGTTGACAGTCTATGTCGAGTCGTCGATGACTGCACGCAAAAACAAGCCGTTCATCGCAAGTTTTTTTTGCACAAACCTTCTAACTTTGAGAATACCAATGTCACTTTCACTACCACTCGGTAAAAACTCGCTTGATAGCAGGGCGCATGGAGGAGGTGTAGCACTCTTAGTGGCAGAGAAGAGGAGGTCACTTGGAGAGCATCTCTAGAAGTTTGTTCTGTGATTGTAACATTCCACGAGCCGTTGTCAAGTAAGGAGTGATGCAATTGGTCTGTGACCGTTCTTCGGTCAACTTTTTTCTGTTATATTTCAATTTAAAGCTTTCGTGACTGCAGGGATTCATCTTCTTGGTTCTTTCGGTAAAGTCACGTAGAAGGGAAATAATAAAATAATAAAAATAAAACATAATAAAATAATTCTCACGACGTTTTCGGCCACAACGCAAGCAGTCGTCCTCAAGTGAAGAACAGGTCTGTCGGAAAGACAGCGTCTTATTGCGTCTTCAGACTCTGTCTTATCGACAGACCTGTTCTTCACCCGAGGATGGCTGCTTGCGTTGTGGCCGAAACGTCGTGAGAATTATTTTATTATGTTTTATTTTCCTTCTACGTGACTTTACCGAAATAACCAAGAAGATTTTTTCTGTTATCTCATTGGATGATGTTAGTAGCACATTGTGAATAAAATGTTGATTTTTTTTAGTTGTTGTTTAAGAAAGACAAACACTCCCTCCATTATGGGCCAACTAAAACCACACGCTCAACCCAAACGACAGGTTCACGGAACTGGAGAGGTCCACGAGTGTTGCCAAGATAAGGTGACACCACAACGCATCATATATCGTACAAGAGCCTCCGTATTCGTATAAGTAGATTCGAATAAATATTGCGCGAGCGAGATTATCGTGGCTCGAATGCGTACGTCGCAAATTATTTCCTGACAAAATATATTTATGAAATAACGACAGCACAAAATGTGAATAAAAAGCTTTGCCCATTTTAAATGAGTATTTTTGCACGCAAAAAAAAAACAATTCCAGGGGTTATATGACCTCATCTGTTTTCGTGATCATTTAATTATTCTTATTCCTTGTGTGACTGGCAGCATGTGACTTGTTTCCACAAACTAGAAGACTTAGTCGCAGTTCGCGTCGAGTGAATTTGAAGTGGAATACATTGAACCGCATCATGACCTTGCATCGTCGTCGTGAAACATGTACCATCGCCGTGACAAAAAATGTGTTTAATCTCGCGGGATCGGATGTTCGTTTTTAGAACAATAACAACAAAAACAACAACAACGTGGGACGGATTCACCTTCTGGCAGGTGGCGCTGCGTGCTGATTGTGGTGGTTCCCAGCCGCTTGCTGGGGGACCGTGTCCACCGTGAGGTAGGTACGCACAGAACTGCCCAGGGGCAGGGTCTTCCTCCCCTGCAAGCTGGAGCGCATGCTCATGCTGGAGCTCTTCTGCTTCTTCGCCTTGCTCTTGTCCCCGTCGGCCGCGTCGCTCCGCTCGCACGGGCAGTCGAGGCAGGGCACGCCGGAGCAGAGGCGCGAGCACAGTTGGCGCAGGTCGGCCTAGGGGGGGGGGGGGGAAACACGAAAAACCGGAGAAAATAAAAAACCCAAAAACCACAAAAAACCGGGGAAAAAAACCCCAAAAACAATAAAAAAAAAACCGAAAAAATAAAAAAAACCTAAAAAACAATCAAAACCGAAAAAATTAAAAAAACCGAAAAAACAATAGAAACCGAAAAAAAAACCCAAAACCAACTAAATCCAACCCCCCCCCCCCGACCTAAAAAAACGACCGGGAAGCCTCATTTGTGAGCGAGTGCCCCTGGCCTGGGTTGCTCTGCAGCTCCCGAAGAAGCTGAGTTGTTGTTTCTATATTTGAAGCTTTCGTGACTGCAAGAATTCATACTCTTAGGTTTTTTCGGTAAAGTCACGTAGGTAGAAAAATAAATAATAAATTATAAAATAATAGAAACATTTATATAAATAACATAATAAATCACTATAATTGTTTCTATTGTTTATTCTTATTTATTTTAATTATTTATTTTTTACCTACGTGACTTTACCGAAAAAAACTAACTGTATGGGTTGTTGTATGTAAAGGTATGGAAGGACGGTAAATATCGTACGCTATTTACACCGCAGTATCGCTAAAATTGCAGTAACCATGTTTTAAAATGCAACATCTCACGTACTACTATTTGCACGCTAAAAATGGCAAAGATCCCCCGTATAGCATTTAACAGACTGTTGGGGCAAGTGCTGTTAGCGAGCACCTATTAAGGCTGCCACGGCACACAAGTGGGTGGGTCGCCAACACCATGCCCAGCCGCCTTTGTCTCTCCCAGTGCTGATGTTTACACAACGTCAGGTACCTATTTAAAGCTAAGTCGACCTCACGAAGGCCCATAAACCAGTTCAAATATTCACCACTCGTTATTGGTCATGCATGGGATTCAAACTGAGGTCACAGGGTTCGTATGGCAGTGCGCTCGTGAGCGCTATGCACACGTATACTCAGAGCTTTGAGCTGAAAGTAAACACTTCACTCCAATCATAGATTAAGCTTTTAATTATTTTCAATATAACATATGAATGAAAATGAGAACTTAATCCATTTACGAGATGGGGAAGAAAAAAAAAAACCTTGCATAATGATTGCTTGGCAGCATCACGTGTTGGGAGTGTGGCTTCAATTATGCTCTGATAAACAAAATAAAGGCTCTTGGAAGCCTAAAAAATACTTAATCCATTCCACATATTTGTGTGCCCCATCATTTGACATCGGTCATGATCAATCCACTGCTGGATGAAGGCCTCTACAGGCAATCGCAATCTCTCACCATGGAAAATGTAACTGGTTAGTACTTGCATGAGAACACGGTGTTTATGGCTTTTGAATACGAAGAATTTCGTGGAGGTATGATGCGAGCAACTGGGAAATTCCCATTAAAACGTGGCAAGAAAGTGTTGCAGATGCAATCAGAAACAGAAGGCATTTCCCATGGTCCAAATGCCAACGATCAATCTCGCATCTGTGCGGGAGCCGATTTAACTGCACACGAGCTAATTTCATTGCTCCATCTCCACAGTACCCCCGCAGGCCAATGCTACATTGGTGTTTTTTGCTCAAATGGGCAGTGACGAGTATTGGCCTCAGAGAAGAGAGGTGCAGTGATCGCTCTTGTTTTTGTACTTGATCTGTCATTTTGGATTAGCTACAGTTCTGCCTTGTTATCTTAACAGGTTCCCTTTCACACTTCAGCTGTCATCTCTTTATATATATATTTTTTTTATATTATCAGGGATGGATGTGGACCATTACAATACTAATCATAATGTTCTTCATTTTGCAAGCCGATCTTCAACACGTTTTATAACAAACCTCAGGTATCTTATATAAACCCATTTTGCGTTGTCAATGTGCATTACGGTAAAAAAAAAAACACACACACATTTTTCGCGACAATGCGTAATGGGTTTGTGTACGTGATTGCTTTTAGCGTTGAACAAGGTCCTATACTTCACGAGTATCCCTCTCGCCAATACCATCTGGACAGCCACCAGCGTTTTGTTTTAACAAGCCCGGCTCTGCGGTCGAGAGCCAGGCAAAGTTGAAATCGGTACATAATTGACATGCTCCAACATATGGTGCCGGATGAGATTGTCTTGGAGAGCTAAAAGGCTCATGGACTAAAACCACAACAACAACAACAAAACCCGCGTGTGTTTTATATCTGGAGACGCAATGGCGCTGTACGTAAATTCACTGAAACGGGTTATTGTGTGCGGTACATTGAGATGGCTAAACTTTACACAACCACTCTACGTAATTTTTCTTGAGAAGAATGTACAGTCGTTTTGTTTGCTGTTAGGAAATTTTGGAACTTTACTCGGGGTTCCACAGTATAATGTTTCACGATATGGCACGGCACAATGTACACTTTCTCAATGAGGTGATTGTTTCAATATCGGGTTTTCCGTAACTTTGTGATTGTAGCTCAAATTGTATGGTATTGTGTTTTTGTCCTTTGCTGTACCGTCGGTACAAATTACATATTACTCCAAAATTCTTCCATCGCAGATCACTCCGCTTGAGCCTGCTATGAGCGAGCACAAGTAAGTATCATCGTGACAATAAATAACACTAATAACGCACACATTGTCGTCAACTATGGAAAACAAATGACATCATCGATTATTCTAAACAGAAATCACAATGTGGCGTTACGTCGTGGAACAGACGATCGCTAGTTTCGTGGATCGATTAGATTATAAAACGTGTCGTATTATCACCAGCATCGGAGCAACCTTACACTTTACTGTAATTGCCTCTGAAACATTAACGTAATTTATGACAGACAGACGAAAACATTTCCACTAAGAAGTCGGGTACAGCGATTCGCAAATCATGCAAATTATAATTTGTCCTGTTAATTCCACGTGTAATAAACTGTGCTTTAAATGACAGGAAAAAATGTAATGCTAGAAGCAAAACGCGGGCAGTGATGAGAAAAAAAAACTGGAACTATTTTGGACACAAATGTAGGATGGACAACAACAAAAACAGGAAAACTAAAAAAGTGTTGTTGTTGCTGGTAATGTTTGAAAAAAAAATGGAAAGATCCAGAAAGGGAGGAAGACCTCACAGAGAATGGGATCGACGACACGATACAGAGATCGGTGCAAGGAAATATGTGGTGCGCTACTTGAGCATATTGACACTCAGAGGAAAGTGGAAACGAATGCCGAAATGTGCGGTGGACAACTACACGCCATCGTGATGGTGATGATGAATGAGAAGAAAGCATTTGACTGCCAACAAATAGATTTTACCTTTGAGACCTCCTTTACCAGTGGCAAAATATAGTAATAGGTTTTTTACCCTTTCAACTGGTACAAAAACTGACACCTTTATACAAGGCATCATGTTTGCAATAACCACAACACAAGCAGTTGAAAGGGTTAAAACCTATTACTATATTTTGCCACTGGTAAAGGAGATGTCTCATAGTGCAAATGCTTACCCTGAGCTCTCAATACTCTGATAGTGCGCTGTCTTTGAGTTGTACGCCTTTTGGTGTCATCTGGTCCAGCACCAATGGAGACTAGGCTCCAAGAAAAGCTGTCTCAGGAGTGGACCAATCAACTTCAAGGACAGTGCATATCATCATCATCATCGTTGTTGTTTCTTTTTGTTTGCATTTTGACTGCTTGTGTTGTGGTTATTGCAAACATTATGCCTTGTATAAAGGTGTCAGTTTTTGTACCGGTTGAAAGGGTAAAAACCTATTACTAGATTTTACCTTTGTTCAGAAAATTATGGGTCACAAATTGGTCAAGCTACACACACAGCCACACGAAGTGACGCTGTCCCTCGTCCTCAGTGCCTCCTACGCACGTGCACAGCAGAGAAACCTCAAGTCCCGCATGTGTCGGTCGATGATTTTGACTTCGCAAAGGTGCATTTTTGTGCGTTTCGTAGAATTACAATACTGCAAAAAAGGATCTCGATTTGCGCATCAGAATTGTATTGCGCGAAATTTCATTGTGTACAATCTTACCGCACAAAAGAGGACGCGATTTCGTGCACCTGGGTGGAAACCTCCCTTCACAATGCGGAGGCGCCCTGCCTGGAGAGATTTATGAAGTACTAGCTGTACTACCCGGCTTCGCCCGGGACTTGTATCTACCACGGCCGGCCGCCTTTGTCTCCCCAGTGGCGATGTTAATACGCTACAGTAGTTAAGTTACTCGTTTGAGGCAGAGTCGACCTAGGGGAGGTTCAAATAATCGTCACCGGTGGTGGCCGTGAGCGGGAATCGAACTGGGTTTGCCGGGTTGGTAGCGCAGCGTAGCGTTAAGCACTACACCCACCGCTCCTCACACACCACACACGCACAGACACACACACAGACACACACACAGACACACGCAGACACACACAGACAGAAACACACACACAGACAGCACGCTAACCACTACACTACCGCTCCCCACACACCACACACGCACACACACAGACACACACACAGACACACACACAGACACACACACACAGACACACACACACAGACACAGGCAGCACGCTAAGCACTACACTACCGTTCCCCCTACACAACACACGCGCGCGCGTCCATAGGTACACATACACGCGCTTGCTGCAGACACACACGACTTTCAGGGTGCATACGGCAGTAAACGACTGAAATAATAAAGCGGCAATGCTGTGTAAGGAACGCCTTAGACCCGCATTATACATTTGTGTAATGCGAGCGTAAACACACAAACACACACAAACACATACACAATACACACACACATACATGCAGACACACAGACAGACACATAACACACATACATACACACACATACAAACACAGAAACACATACACACACATACATAGACACACACATACATACACACAAACACATCCACAGACGTACATACACACATACATACAGGCACGCAGACATACACATAAACACATACAAAAAAACCCACATACATACACACACACATACATACACACAAACACATGCACACACATACATACACACATGCATACAGACACACAGACATACACATAAACACATACACACATACACATGACCCGGCTTCGCCCGGGACTTGGATCCACCACGGCGGCAAAACCGACATACATACACACACAGACATACACACAAACACATACACACACATACATACACACATGCATACAGACACACAGACATACACATAAACACATACACATGACCCGGCTTCGCCCGGGACTTGGATCTACCACGGCGGCAAAACCGACATACATACACACACAGACATACACACAAACACATACACACACATACATACACACATGCATACAGACACACAGACATACACATAAACACATACACATGACCCGGCTTCGCCCGGGACTTGGATCTACCACGCCCAGCCGCCTTTGTCTCCCAAGTGCCGATGTTAATACGCCACACCAGTTACTCGTTTGAGGCTGAGTGGACCTAGGGGAGGTTCAAATAATCGTCACCGGTGGTGGCCGTGAGCGGGAATGGAACTGGGTTCGCCGGGTTGGTAGCGCAGCGTAGCGTTAAGCACTACACCCACCGCTCCTCACACACCACACACGCACAGACACACACACAGACACACGCAGACACACACAGACAGACACAGACAGACACACACAGACACACAGACAGCACGCTAAGCACTACACTACCGCTCCCCACACACCACACACGCACACACACAGACACACACACAGACACACGCAGACACACACAGACAGACACAGACAGACACACACACACACAGACACAGACAGCACGCTAAGCACTACACTACCGTTCCCCCTACACAACACACGCGCGCGCGTCCATAGGTACACATACACGCGCTTGCTGCAGACACACACGACTTTCAGGGTGCGTAAGGCAGTAAACGACTGGAATAATAAAGCGGCAATGCTGTGCGAGGAACGCCTTAGACCAGCAACACATTTGTGTAATGCGAGCGTAAACACACAAACACATACAAACACATACACACACATACATACACACACATACACACAAACACATACACACAGACATACACACAAACACACACATACATGCACACAAACACATACACAATACACACACACATACATGCAGACACAGACAGACACATAACACACATACATACACACACATACACACACATACATAGACACACACATACATAGACACACACATACATACACACACACATACATACACACAAACACATGCACACACGTACATACACACATACATAGAGACACGCAGACATACACATAAAGACATAAAAAAAACCCACATACATACACACACACACATACACACAAACACATACATACACATACATACACACATACATAGAGACACACAGACATACACATAAACACAAACACACATACACATGACCCGGCTTCGCCCGGGACTTGGATCCACGATGCCCCGCCGCCTTTGTCTCCCCAGTGACGATGTTCACACACGACAGCAGTTACGCTTTTGAGGCTGAGTGGACCTAGGGGAGGGCCAGGTCCGTTTCAAATAATCGTCAGCGGTGGTGGGCGTGAGTTGGAATCGAACTGGGGTCGCTCAAGCAGCTTAATGACTGTTTGTACAAAGAACATATAAAGAATCGATTATAATAACCAGGCAAGAGTCCACATTATAGACTGCCAGTACACGCACTCAGCTTCATAAGCAGGCTAGAGTGTACATGATAGAGTGGCAGTACGCTCACCGAGCTTAATAAGCAGGCTACAGTGTACATGATAGACTGGCAGTACGCTCACCCAGCTTAATGAGTATTTGTACAGTGAACATTAAAGTAATCGATTGTTGGCGCGTTGGGTTTAAAAGTAATATTAATAGCACACATTGTGGTGGGGGTGTAGTGAAGAGTAGGAAAAACTTTGATGAATTTACCTCAGAGTGGCGTGGTGGGTGTCGAGGCCTAGTAGCGTGCAAAGCCTGCGGCCTCGCCTAAAATTGTCGGCTTGGAAGAGGCAGGGTACGGGTGGCGTTCCTTCCCCCCCCCCCTAGCGCTCCAACAATACTGTGTAATGGCTATTATTTAATTAAATACGGAGCTTATGAAAGTGGCGAAGGCGTGGCTAGCCGTTGGCAGGGGCAACCGCCGTCCAATGAAACTGCAGCCCTTGGCGAAGGCGTGGCTAGCCGTTGCCAGGTCCAATGAAAGCGGCGAAGGCGTGGCTAGCCGTTGCCAGGGGCAACCGCCGTCCAATGAAAGTGCGTATGGGCCAAAGTCCACACACACACACACACAGACAGACAGACATGAACGATTTTATATATATAGATGCAATCTGTGCCCATTGTATAATACAGTGGCCACGATAAATCTCTGGCTGTGGAACAGCATTGGGCTCCTGTTTGAGACCATCAATTCAATTCCCGGCCACGGTAGGACCTCACTCTCTGGGGTGACGTAAAAATTAATACGGCGAGGTGAGCTTCGATTGACGCAGCGTTAAACGTGGCTGGTCTACGGAGAGGCGCTCTTCATCATATACACAGACAGCAACCCGTTTGTCAATCCACTGCTGGATGATGGCCTCCCGATGTCAAGGTTGGGATCGAACCCACGACCTTCTGTATACCAGGCGAGGGAGTTAACATCTCGCCACCGCGAGCAATATCCCAATGCCCATTTGAGAGCTAAGAAAACGCTGACCCATCTATATACCGTGTGTGTGTGTGTGCACGTGTGTGTGGGGGGGGGGAGCGGTAGTGTAGTGGTCAGTGCGCTGCACTATGAACCCGGCGACCTGTGTTCGATTCCCGCTCACGACCAATATCAGTGATGATTATTTGAACCAGTTCCTGGGCCTCCCCTAGGTCGACTCAGCCTGAAATGAGTACGATGTGTAAACATCGCCACTGGGGAGACAAAGGCGGGTGTTGACCACCCACCCCCTCGTGCGCCGTGCCGGTCTTTCACAGGTGCTCCTCGCTAACGGCACTTGCCCCAACAGTCTGTGCAGGCTATACGGGGGACCTTTGTCGCGTGTGCGCTGTCGCACGCACCCTGAAGCTGTCGTTGTAGAAGCCGTAGACCAGGGGGTTCCACACGCTGTGCGACATGGCGAGGAAGTGTGAGCAGAAGTAGAGGGCCGTGGCAGAGCCGGGGTGGTGAGGCAGCAGCGAGGGCCCGAACTCGAGCAGCGCTTGGAACACGTTGAGCGGCAGCCAGCACACGGCGAACATGAGCACAATGATGCTCAGCATCTTGATCACCTGCAGCGCACGCAAAGGCAAAGTCTCCCGGCGGCGTGCATGGCCGTGCACGATCTGTTCTTGTTCAGCTCTCACGCGATTAACGGATTTAGATTTCAACAATTCCTCCCCCCTATTCTAGATTTGAAGCTTTCGTGACTGCAAGGATTCATATTCTTAGGTTTTTTCGGTAAAGTCACGTAGGTAAAAAAAACATTAAAAAGTAAAATAAAATAAAAATCACGACGTTTCGGAGGCAACACAAGCTTCCGTCTTCAGGTGGTACCGTCACAGCCACGACAGCTATCCCTATCCCCCCCCCCCCCCCGGTTTTATCCAATGGCGCTATCGTCGTCATGCTGTGGAAATAAAAACATGTCATCCGTTCGGATTTCTCGCAGGGCAATGCAACAATTGGTGCTATAGAGGTCGGCCCGTGGAAGCGGACATCACAGAACTACCTCCTGCGATCTCTTCCAAGTGACCTCTGCACCACGCGACGGAGACCAACGCTCTCCCACACCCACTCTGCGTACGATACAAATGTGTGTCGCATTGCAGTCGAATCGATATTTCATTCCCGGAGCTGGGATTAGCCCAATTAAGCGCACGTTCCCACATGTCCCGCGATAGAGATAATGCCCGTTACATGGCAGTCAAACCGAAGCTGGAATGTTGCCATGTGAAGTAAAAGAAAATAATGCGATGGGTTTTTTTTAGTGAATTGGTGATCGGGCTGAGACCATTATCTCTCGACATTTGAAGACCCGGCTTCATTATGGGTGAGCTAATACTCAGATTAAAAGCCAGGATCTGAACCCCCGTGAGCCATCCGGGGTCACCTCGTTTGTCACTCGCTTCTCACTCTCAATTTAAATTTCAATACAAACAAACAACAACAACAAAAATCGTGGGGGGAAAAAAACAAAACAAGGTGACGGAGATGCGGGAAAAGCTGGACTTGCTGTGAATGGCTTTTCGGGGAGAGCCGCACAATCACCGCACAGCCGAGCCCCACACTCCACCTTCCGCTTGGAGCGCTCCTGGTGGAGCTCGCGGTTGTGGTCGACGTTGCCAGGGTGTCCGCCGGCCCCACAGCCGCACGGCCACGCTGGAGTAGGCGAGGGTGAGCACCAGGAGGGGCAGCAGATACGTGCCGAGCAGCAGCGCCACCGTGTAGCTTTGCTGGTATCCGCGGCTGGGCCAGCCCACCTCTAGGCATTTCCCCTTGCCCAGCTGCAACAGCGGGACACGCGGCGCCACGGATAACGTCGTCGCTGACATACGGACAGGCCGACCTCACCCCCTCCCCTCCCCTACCATTGATCCATCAGCTAGTCATCACCATTGATCTATCAGCTAGTCATCACCCACGTTTCATCAACCGTTTGTCACCGACTCGCCCATCACCCACCCATCATCAACTCATGACTTATTCATCACCCAAACATATGTCAGCCCCCCCCCCCCGCCGCTCCCCCACCCATTACCCATTCCACCACCCAGCTTTTCACCCAGCCATCACCCATCCTACTGTCACCCACCTACTCATCACCCAGCCACGATCACCAGCCAGCGCACACCTATCACCCGTTCAACATTCAAACACCACCAACCTTTAAGCCACCTACCCACCCATAATCCGTCAAACCATCACGCACTCATCACCACACACAGATCAACCACCCATCGCCCATTCATCAGACACAACCCGATCACCCACCCAAAACTCACCCATCGCAAAAACCATTACAACTTGTTTCCACTCCCTCCTGTGCATCTGGCTGATGACGTTGGGTGTTGTTTCGATCGAGGATCGTGCGACATGGATTTGTTGGTATGGGTTTTTTTTATTCCACCGTTAATAGTAAAACGTTGGAGCCGAATGATCTTTGCCTTTTAAAGCATTGTCAAATTACTTGACGTGGGCGCCTCCGGGTTCGAACAGCATGTCGGGGCACGGAGCCGGCACCGTTGAGACCTTGGGTTCAAAGCTGTGCAGTCACCCGTGATAACGCCGGGTCATAAGGTGCTGCAAGTTGATGGCCTCAGCCCAAGTCACCACTGGGTGCACGAATGGAAAAAAATTAGATTTTCCACTTACTGCGAAAATTAAAATCAGTTTTATTTTGTTGTCACATGAGATGAAACACTCTTTGCCATGGTGAAATTGATCAGAATCAGAGTATGGGCTATGAAGCAATTTTTCACAGATGTCTAGTAAAATAAAAATAAAATATGCCACGAGTCTAATATAGAAGGGACTTTCAGAAGTGGTTGCGCGATTTAAATTTTCTGACGCCATTCTCTGACACAAGGCGGTCAATTTGCCCGGTTTAAAAAAACAGTCTAAATGCAATTGTATTCGTCACGTGACAACATGGTGCCAACAGCACATTTTGGAATATAATTGGAATTTGAAAAAAAGCGAAAGAAGCATATCTATGGAGCACCTGCACTCTTTCACAATTCAGCTGATTGCCTGCTGAATATCTGCTTGTGTTTCATTCTCTTGGGATGTTGGCAAGTCACAGAGGAGACCAAAGTGAAAGCAGTGATTTAAAAAAAAAACCCAAATGATGAGGGAGAGATTTGGAGATTGGCCGAGCCTTGAGCCGGTCACGTAGAGGCTCGAGAGAAGGCCAGCAGCGAAAGTGTTTATAAAGGGAGGAAGAAGGCCGGAGGAGGAGGTGGATGGAGTGGATGAAGGTGTGAGGGCAGAGGGGGGGGGGGGTACGTCACGAGGGAATGGAGAGAAAAAAGAATGTGTGGCGAGGAGGGAATGTGTGATCTTGAGATGCATCGCAATGCATTCATTTCCAGCGAATGGAATGAAACTGGTGACAGCTTGGGCCTTATCGGGAAAAAAACAGCACAACAACACCGAGGCAGTTTGAGCCCTACCAATATAAAACACGCGTTGGGAAAAAATATATATACATAATCTTCACGCATTTTGTCTCGTCACTACTGGATGAAGGCTTTCCCGAGCACTCCCCACGTCCCTCGCAGCCCAGTGCGGCTACCGTTCGTCGTGCTCTTGAGCGTGAAGCGATCTCATCGCTCCATCTCCACGGCGAACGTTCCCTTTTTGGACGCTCTCCCTCCTCTCGCTGCCGTTACAACTCCGGTCTTGTCCACCGTTAGTCAGCCTCACTGGCGTTGTCTTTTGCCCACGAAAACAATATGACGGTCGCGTAAATACAACGTTTAATAGGTCAATGCATTAATGGTGGCATAGGTCGTACGTTACAAACGATTTTTTTAACTCTTAAGCTAAACATTTTGGGGGATTTTACCAGGTCAGGTCCACTGAGCTAGAAAGCGCTTTTTCAGAAAGGATCTGGGGCCACACATAATATCTCAACGAATTGGCTTATCACGTGAGAATGTATAGCATTGACATACCACAAACGCACGTTTCTAAATGTGGAGGGAGAACGCGGAGAACCTAGACAAAAATCCACACGACAACGGGGAGAACACGCAAATTCCAAATATACAGCAGCAGGCGTCAGGGTCGAGATCAAACCCACGGCCTCCTGTACACCAGGCGAGGGGGTCAACATCTCACCACCGCAGCACTCTACAGAGGCTGTTAAAATTATGTCTACCTGCATGAACAATGTTGTTTCATTGCGGTAAATTCAATTAGGGGAGCCTTGAGTCCAGGTAGAGTGTGGGTAACGTGACCTCTTCCAGCCCAGCTGTCCAATGTTGGCAAATTGTCCCCAGAAAATAGCAGCACTCTGCTCGCAGTGGTGTACAAGACCCAGCGAGGGTGGATATTTTACCCTCAATTCACAATCGGAAGAGCAGCGCTGTTATTGGCGATACGATGCTGACGCCTTCATCACCTAGGCGGTGGCACGGCGTCGTTAGTGGCACGTTCGGAGCTTGCTGCAGTGGCCGCCCTGGTGATGATGACTGCGGTGGTATTATTAGCCGTAGTAAATATGCGCCGTCTGCTTCACGTTGGATGACAAATGAGCTCGTGACGTCAATCTCCGTACTAGGCTGTTGTTGTTTTTCTGGCGTAACGGTACAGCAACAAAACGAAACATAAAAGCCAAATTCGGAAAATTAAAACGCTCTGAAATGTACGTGTCAATCGCCGGCCTTTACTCCAATGAACTTGGCAGGACCCTCGTGAAAAGGAGTCCTGAAACTCTGTGTGGCTTTTCTGGGTCAACAAGTATAACACGTTAATTTAAAGGTGAGAATCAATCTCGCCACGTATTCCTGCGGTGAGAAAAAATACACTCCGGCGTATAATTGCGACAATTAAACTATTGCGTGCAGTTATCGAGCAACCCACTTATCCAAATGCACGCTGGGGTCAAATGCCCCCTTGCTCTTGGTTGAGGTGGAACCCTCGGGGGAGGGGGGGGGTCTAAAATTGCAGGAGGCAATACCTCATGGCGTGTACCGTAATGACTACTTCGGTGATGAAATACAAAAAAAAAAAGATATAATTCTCATTCGGCTCGGAGGGTTGATCGGCCAGAGAAGGTCACAGCTGGCTCTGTGGCTCTGAGACCGCACCTTCTCCCAGGGAGGTGGATGGGTTGGGAGGGAGGGAGGGAGTGAGCGAGGTGGACGGGAAGGTGGGAGGGGTGGGATCACGGAGAGAAGGGGACATGTGGCGGCAGGGAGAGCGAGAGCAGCTTTAGAGAGTGGGCGTGAATCGTGAGTGTGTGCGAGACGTGGATCGGTGTAGGGTGGCGGTGAGCGCTACGCTGCGCTACGAAACCCGGCGACCCGAGTTCGATTCCCGCTAACGACCAATAGCAGTGACGATTATCTGAACCGGTCCTGGGCCTCCACCTCGGACGACTAAGCCGCCCAATGAGTACCTGGTGCGACGTAGAAACATCGTCACTTTGGGAGACAAATGCGGCCGGGCGTGTTGTTGTAGTACAGAGTTAGACTGATGGCCTTAATCTAAGTTGTCTTGTGGTTGTTGTTGGTTGTTTGACTTGCATCCCACTGGGATTTTTGCACACAGCGTTAGTGTACGTTGTTTTTTCTGCAATATTTTTCTGTCTTTTCTTGGATTTTCTGTTTGCAGTTAGTCACATATTCAATTTAAGATGGTTTTTGTTCATGTTTTTTTTTGTTTGTTGCGGTTGCACCTGATTCAAGAACCGAATGGCTCACAGGGCTACACCTAATACATGAACTTGAACGCCACCCACCCCGTTCGTCTGCTGTGCCGGCCTTCATAGGTGCTGTCCAACAGCACTTGCCCTCCCCCCCAACTGTCTGTCAAAGGCTCATGCGGGGATGAGGGAGGGGGGGGGGTCTTCATCTCGTGCGAGACTCACCCGAGAGATGCCCAGTTGCACCGACGAGATGCTGATGGACACGGCCCAGATGAGGGCTATGAACACCTTTCCCCTGGACTTGGTCATGCGCGAGTGTAGCGGGTGACACACCGCGTAGTAGCGGTCGATGCCGATCGTCGTGAGCGTGTAGATGCTCACGGACACGGAGAGGGTCTGAAACGCGAGGGAACATCGGGCGAAGGTTGTTGTTTTTTTTTCGATTTAAAGCTTTCGTGACTGCAAGGATTCATCTTCTTGGTTCTTTCGGTAAAGTCACGTAGAAGGGAAATGATAAAATAATAAAAATAAAAGAAAATAAAATAATATTTTATTTAATAAATTATGTTTTATGTTTATTACTTTATTATTTCCCTTCTACTGGAAATAATAAAATAATAAAAATAATACATAATAAAATAATATATTATTTAATAAATAATGTTTTATTTTTATTACTTTATTATTTCCCTTCTACGTGACTATACCGAAAGAACCAAGAAGTAGTTTTTTTTTGTTTTACTTCCAAATGCTGCACCCTCGGCTGCATCCGAGATCTCTTCCCGATTTCTGAGATCCCAGCTGCGACGCTGCCGGATTTTAAGGCGAACGCGTTTTGTAGAAAAATGTACTTAAGACAACACTCGCCGCTTTGTCAGCGCTCAATGCCTTCGTAGCAGCAGGTACTTTTTAGTAAAACTCAGTTGAGATGCAGCCGGATAGGCAAGAGAAAATAAATGTGGTTTTCAGACGAGACCCTAAAAAAAAAAAAGTGGTTTTCAGACGAGACCCGTAAAAAAAAACCTCGACTGACGGAGCATCTTTCGATTTAAAGCTTTCGTGACTGCAGGGATTCATCTTCTTGGTTCTTTCGGTAAAGTCACGTCGAAGGGAAATAATAAAATAATAAAAAATACAACATAATAAAATAATTCTCACGACGTTTCGGCCATCAGACAGACCTGGTCTTCACCTGAGGACGGCCGAAACGTCGTGAGAATTATTTTATTATGTTTTATTTTTATTATTGTATTATTTCCCTTCTACGTGACTTTACCGAAAGAACCAAGAAGATGACGGAGCATCCCTAACAGACTGGGGCGAGGCATTTCAAGAACGCGGCGTCTAACGACTGAAAGTTTCATCGCCCACTGAACGCAGATGTATCCCGCTACATGTATCACAGAGTGCTACATGTCGCGAGATAGCTTCCTGCTCAGCGACGAATTATTTTTCAGGGAATAGGGCAGCCGCCGTAAGAATAACAATTGCCTCGACTATTCAGACAGGGCAGTGGCATCCTTTTCATCTGGTTATTTGTGACAGAGGTGGTCAACAAATATATTAGTTACAACAGTGTATTGAGATAAGGCACTTACTGATTATTTTCTTAATAAAGCGCAAAGCAATGCTCACCGAGTATTTCTTTTTCCTTCGTCAGAGAAACTATATTAAACTTTTCTAAATCAGCTTTTCGCCATTAACATATTTATATTGCATCTTAGGTAGCAGCAGCAGCAAGATATATCCTGGTTTCGATACACGTGCAACAACAACAAAACCTACAGTATACTAATATTCGCAACAACCCAAAACAAATTGGGTTAGGAAGAGATAGCAAGCGATTGCCCACGGTCATCTCGATACATATTTCCTAAGGATTATTTCCACCATGGAGGTCTGCATTGCGCGAAGGTTTGAGACGCCCCCCCCTCCACATTAGCCCCCCGCGCTTTGCAGTAATCATTCTGGGTAAATGACACGTGATGCTCCGAGTCACCGCGTGTCACCCCCCCCACCCCCCCGTGAAATGAACGTGCAGCAGTTCACTGTTATTGGCGGAACGTTTTAAAACCCCACGCGTCTCTTGACATTCGCGGTGGACCCCCGGCTATTGCACGTGCAATTCGATATATATATTTTATCACCCGAGGGGAGGGAAGGGATTTTTTTTTTCTCCTTCATTCTATTTATTATTATATTCGTATTATTATTCCCCGTTATAAATTTACACGCGTTTACGCGCGCTTATTGACAAGCTGCCATGAAGCTCTCGTCAACCGCTCACGGCCCCCTGACGCCCTGGGGGTGGAAAGGGGGGGGGTCACTCGTCACAACGAGTGGGGAAGCCTCCCTCCTCGTGTCTGTTTACTCTCGAGTCAGTGGGGGTGGAGGGGGGGGGTCTCACCCCCGCGTACCCGCGCCCGGCGCGCCGCGGTCACTCGCCTGCGCAAATCTCACGAGGGGGCACAGCAGGGCGCCGAAGAGCCAACTCTGCAGCAGCACCTCGGTGAAGGTGAAGGGCAGGCAGAAGAGGGCCATCGTGAGGTCGGCCAGCGCCAGGTTGATGAGGAAGGCCGAGATGTCGGTGCGCGCCCGGCGACCCAGCGCCAGCACCCAGACGACCACGGCGTTGCCGGAGAGCGCCAGCACCGTGGCGAGGCCGTAGAGTGCGATGATGACCGCCTGCCAGCGAGGGCCCACGATTGGCTCCGCGTCCTCGTCGCCAAAGACCTCGGTGACGTTCGGCCCCGTGGAGCCGTTCTCGCCGACGTCGCCGACGACGCCGAAGACGCCGTGTGGCAGCGGTGCGCTCGACGAATTTCCCGGCATCTCCATTGTTGGGATCTGAGCTCACGCACGCGCACGCAGGCGAAGATTCCACAAACACCACCTCCACCCCCCACCAACCTCCACCCCACGTAGCCCGTACAGGCTGTTTGGGGCAAGCGCTGTTCGTGAGCACATGTGAAGGCCGGAATGGCGCACGAGGGGGTGGTGTGGTCAGGAATCACGCCCGGCCGCCTTTGTCTCCCGAGTTGCGATGTTTTTACAACATCACACCGGGTACTCGATTGAGGCTGAGTCGATCTAGGGGAGGCCCAGGACCGGTTCGTACACACAGAGAGAAAGATGCCCCATGTAACTGTTGAGGCAAGTGCTGTTCGCGAGCACCGATTTAAGGCCACCACGGCGCATTGAGGGGTTGGTGTGGCCGGAGACACGGCCGGTCGCTGTTGTCCAGCTAGTGCTGATGTTTAAGCGCTGCACTGGATACTTATTTAAGGCTGAGTCGACTTAGGGGAGGCCCAGAACTGGTTTAGATCATCCCCACTGATGTTATCCACAGCGCGGTGCGCTAACCGCTACGTCACTGCTCCACAACGGACACGCGCACAGACGGGCACACTCACAGTTGTCATGTGGAGAAAAAAAGGCAAAAATTAATACACTGACAATGACTGGTCCCGTAAATTCTCCTCCCACAATGTCCATTTAAGTCGAATTATAACCATTTAAAATTATAACTCACTTTCTGCAATTTTCACACCGCGTCCGACCCACCCGCCATTAGAGTGATCGGGTGGATTTCATTTCACCAGGAATACACTGAACATTGCCTTTGATTTATTCGACGAAGCCTCGCCTTGGCACGAGACGTCTACTTCGTGGCTCATGCTCGAGGTGTGTGGCAGTTGCTGAGAGCGAGCGTGCGTGCGTGTTTGTTTACTGGGTATAAACAAGGAGTGCCTGAAGAAAACCCCACACGCGTAATTGAAAGAAAAAAAACTATCAGAAAAGTCAGCAACCCACAATTGCCGTTCTGCTTTCTCTCCGGGCACCTCCCCTGTCCGGTGCGGGGCATTTAATCGATTACTTATTTACGGTTACAACCATTTGCTCGGGAAAGTTCGCGTTGAGTTGAGTCTCAAGACTGTTTTGTAGGAGGATCGAGCTGGCAGGGCCTGGCCCGAGGAGCGCGAGGTCACGTGTCTATCAGATGTCTGAGGAAGCCAGACGGGACTGCAGGTGCTGAGGACCAAGGCCAAGTGAGAATAATACTGGTTGGAACCTCCTGGTACCACCAACCCACAGGGGATTATTGTGTCCGTCCGTCTGTTGTGCATCCAAACATGGGAGGGGTGGGGCTGGGTGGAGAGGGGAGGGTGGAGAGGGGCTGGGTGGAGAGGGGAGGGTGGGGAGGGGCTGGGTGGGGAGGGGAGGGTGGGGAGGGGTGGGGGGTGGGAGGGAGGGGTGGGGCTGGGTGAGGAGGGCCTGGTCACCCCGTGGTGCCCTTACAAAACTCAACGTTTAACCTACTCACGCCGGCTTGTGGTCGCCCTCACAGTCGGGCATATTTGCGGAATACACCACGCCGCCGTTGACCCTGGCCATTGACTGAGCAACCCAACGTTCCTACCAGCTCCCTCCGCAGGAATGTGTTAACTTGGCTCACCGATTATGAAAACCATCTCATAAAGTGTCCTGTGTGCACGTGTGTGCGTGTTGTGCTGTCGGCATCGCGCCATCAGGCGGAGAATCTATTCGGAGATCTTATGGAGCGGTGGAATCTGTGTGTGTGTGAGGGATGTCTGAAAAAGATTTCGTGACCTTTTTCGGTGTTTTTTCTTTTACGCAGCTGGGGGAGTGGGGGTCGCACTTTTCCACGCACTCTGTAATGAGATTGTCAAGGTACATTTAACTTTTTTTCATTCTCAGAACTTGGATTTGTGTTGGCGAATGAGGTAGGAAACCAAATATAATGATGTATTTGTTTTGCAGCGATCGGCTGGAAAACAATCAGCTCGCAGTCCAGTTCAATCACAGGGAGAGCTGGCCACAATCATAACCCGGAGCTCAGTATTACCAGCTCGCCACCTGGCCACCTCAGGGGATCAGATATTTCTAGGCGTTCGGCATGAACACATTCCTCCTGCGGAGGGAGCTGGTAGGAACGTTGGGTTGCTCGGTCAATGGCCAGGGTCAACGGCGGCGTGGTGTATTCCGCAAATATCGCAGACTGTGAGGGCTGGCACAAGCCGGCGTGAGTAGATTAAACGTTGAGTTTTATAAGGGCACCACTGGGTGACCAGCCCCTCCTCACCCAGCCCCTCCCCACCCTCCCATCTCCACCCAGCCCCAACCCTCCCATTTTTGGATGCACGACGGACGGACGGACACAATAATCCCCTGTGGGCTGGTGTAACCAGGAGGTTCCTACCAGTAAAATGTAAAGCAATGTAAAACTATAGGCCGACTCTGCCGTATGAGTAAAACCAATATATACTCTTTTTTTAAATGTCCGATTAACATATTTTGAAAAATCTGATTTCAGTAGCTATAATCATACACTTGACTATATTTGTGTTCTTGTTGTTCTACACCTCCATGATAATTAACATCTGTCTCTTGTTTTTTCGCTTTTGAGATGTCCTCAACTTTTCTGTTGAGCTCCTCGTCCGCACGTCCGTGCGTGCGTGCGTACGTAAGCAAGTACGGTTGAACTTCTTTCGCACCGTACGTACCCCAACCGTGCGGGGAGGGGGCGGGGAAGGGTTACCAAAAAAGAGGAGAGGGTGACCGCTTCCCTACCGCCTCTCGCCCAACACGCAAGGCTGGAGATAAACCCTTTGCTTCGTGATTACACGCGGTGGAATTTTGTTGTTGTTGTTGTTGTTGATCCTCTCGTGATCACTGCCTGGGTGTTTTCTTTTTTTACAAGAGCCAGACAGCAGCAAGATTAGTTGGGGTGTGAAGTTGACAAATCATATCCAAATAAAATCTCGCCGCACGTCAGACTTGTATATATTTGTATTAATGCCCTGCCTGTTCCCTATCGCGCCGCTATGGTGCTTAACACAGTTTCGTCTATACATCTTTCACAGATTCATTTTTTTTTACATCGCTCCATAACACCCTTGGCTAACGTAGGCGACACAGGGCGGAGGATGGTGGAGCGGTGGCACAGCGGTTCGCCCGCTGCGCTGTGAACCCGGCGACCCGAGTTCGATTCCCGGCCACAGACTAACATCGGTGCCGATTGATATCGAAATAAGTCCTGACCAGCCCTCCGCTTCGCCAACCTCCAATGACCAGCATGGTGAAGTATGGTCAAAAAAACCCTCGACCGAGGCGGTGTGGGGAGGATTTCATGCAGCAGCGGATTGACATGGAGCTGTATATGTATTTATTATATACCCACAGCATGCTGCGGTGGTGTAACGGTGAGCACCCTGGACTTTCAGATATCTCCGATTCGATTTATTCCTGCGTGGCAGGTTAAACAATTGCCCAGTTAAAGTTCCCTCTGCCTCCATCCATCCAGCAGTAGATAGGTTTACACCGCAGTTAGTCGATCGGTAGGTCGCGTGCGGTTGTAGCAAATGGGATCTTCACATCGATTCCATACGTCTGGCTGGTGTGGAAGAGTAGGCCAAATACCATCTAAAGGGGGTATCAAGTTCCTTCCAGCTAAGGCTGTTCTGACAGCTGTGGTGTAAGCAAACAATTGTGTGGCTATGCTTCTATCTCTGTTTACCCAGCATGTATAATATCCTAAGGCAGCATGATCATAGCGCTGCGTGTCTAGTATTTCTGAACAAATATGCATCGGTTAGTATTCTAATGCATATACACAATTTTTAAACGATGACACGAACACACGAAACGTGCTCGTATGCATTTAAAACACGTGTTTTGCCTGATTTGGCACGTAAAATATAATTCAGACGGTAAGTGTGGATTCAAAAGCCATTAAATATCCATAAAATAATATTGCTCGATTGGTGCAAAAAAAAACAGCATATCGTGCATGATAGTGTGCGTTTAAATGTGTCAGTTTGACACGTTCTCAAAAAAGCCTAAAAAAGCCAATTAAAACGGCAGCTGTGCCCTGCTGTTCCCTGTGAAAGTCATTCGTCCTTTGCCAGGTCTACGGTCGATTTTGGATTATACCATCAACATGTACGGTCACCTCTTTGCCAATAAATGTGTCGCTTAAGGTAATAATGCGGCAATAACAAAAGCACACAAGCAGTCGGTCTTGTATGCCACTGGGCACCCCATTGCGTATACACGAATTAGTATCGGGCACGGCACAAAGGCGTACGGAGCCACTTGCAAATCATTACCCAGGTGGCTCATGGCACGGAGATCTCACTGCACTTTTGTTCGCACGCAGGGAAGCACCTCAAGGAGTTTGGTGATTTTTTTTTCTTTCTTTGGCACCCTTCAAACAGCTTCGCGGGCTAAATTTCGATTTAAAGCTTTCGTGACTGCAGGGATTCATCTTCTTGGTTCTTTCGGTAAAGTCACGAAGAAGGGAAATAACACTGTCTCCCCGACAGACCTGAGGACGGCTGCTTGCGTTGTGGCCGAAACGTCGTGAGAATTATTTTATTATGTTTTATTTTTATTAATTATTTTATTATGTTTTATTTTTATTATTTCCCTTCTACGTGACTTTTACCGAAAGAACCAAGAAGAAGCTTCGCGGGCGTTCACTTCGGATTGGAAGCAACCAGCGGTCTCCCAAACGCACCGTGGACACAACTCAACCGAGCGTTAGGGGTGGGGTGGGGTGGGCCCGCGTGAGACAGGTCACGCTGCGTGCGTGACGAGACGAGACGAGAGGCGTGATTTGACCCCGAGGAGGTCCGGGCATCACGGCAGGGGGTAAGCTTCTGCCGGTCATTGCCGACAAAACGCAACGAACCGCGACTCCCACGCTCGGGGGTGGGTGACAATTGTCGTGGCAGGTTTACACGGTGGATGCGCGTGGTACATGGAGGAGAGGCTTCTTTTTTTTTTAGTGTTCTTTCCTCGTGACGTTTTTGAGCGGATTGCAA